TAGTGGGGACAGAGCATCTCCTTGGTAGATACCACATTTGATGTCAGTTGTGCGAGCGGCTTGCCATTTGCCTCAAGGGTGGTCTTCCACATTCCCATCGAGTTTGCAACGAAGTCCCTTAGAGCCCTGTTGATATTGTACAACTTCAAGCATTCCATGATCCATGTGTGTGGCATTGAGTTGTAGGCTTTCTGGTAATCAATCCAGGCTGTGCACAGGTTGGTGTGTCGTGACCGGCAGTCTTGGGCGACTGTTCTGTCAACCAGGAGCTGGTGTTTGGCTCCTCTGGTGTCCCTACCAATGCCCTTCTGTGCTGTGCTCATGAATTGTTCCATATGCCCACTTATCTTAGCCGCAATGATGCCTGACATGAGCTTCCATGTTGTGGAGAGACAGGTTATTGGCCGGTAGTTGGAGGGGACTGCACCCTTGACAGGGTCCTTCATGATCAGGACCGTTCGCCCTTCGGTTAGCCATTCTGGGTGAGTCCCATCTCTCAGCAGCTGGTTTATTTGTGCTGCTAGGCGCTCATGGAGTGATGTGAGTGTCCTTAGCCAGTAGGCATGGACCATATCAGGGCCAGGTGTTGTCCAGTTTTTCATACCTGAGACTCTTTCTCGGATGTCTGCCTCTGTGATGGTAACTGAGTTCTGTTCTGGGAGGTGGCTGTGCTCCTCTCTCAGGGACACCAGCCATTGTGCACTTCTGTTATGTGCTGCATCCTTCTCCCATATGTTCTTCCAGAACTGTTCAGTTTCCAGCCTCGGTGGGTCTGCTCCCCTGTTGTTACCCTGCCACTGAGCGTACACCTTCGCAGGTTGTGTTGCGAACAGCCTGTTCACCCTTCTGGCTTCATTCTCTTTAGTGTACCTCTGTAGGCGGCTGGCCAGGGCTTGGAGCCTTTGTTTGGCAGTTTCGAGTGCTTCAGGTATGGTCATCTGGCTGTACTTTCTGGGTACTGGTCTTTTCATTGCACCTCTCTGGGCCTCTGTTAATTGACTCACTTCTCTCCGAGCCTCCTTGATCTTAGCCTCCAACCGTCTTTTCCATGGTGGGTATTGTCCATGGCTCCCATGGTTGCTCTTATAGCCAAGCATCTCTGGGATCACTGCTGCTGAAGTGTATATCAGCTCATTGGTTTCAGTAATTGTGGTGGTAGGTATTGCCCTCACTGCTGCATTCACGCTTTCTATGAGATCCTTAGGTGGTACTTCACACAACCGCTGTAACCGGTGTCTTTGCCCTGTGCCCATTCTAGCCATGATCTTAGCTTTCGGTTTCTTAGTTATCGGTTCCATTGGGGCTATGTACCCAATATCTGGTTGGGGAGTTGCAGTTGGTGGGCTCTCCCCTCTGACCTTGGCAACTGTGGCAACTGTAGCATCATACATGTGTTGTACCTCATCAATCTCAAGCTGTGATAGCAGTTGCCGTTTGTGGATGTTGGAGCATTGAGCTACCAGTTGTTTCGGGGTCAACTGTGACTGTGGGTTTCGAAGTAACCATTCAGCCCACATTCTCTGCATGTAACCTCTTTGGCCAGGGTTATTCAAGTAGTAGCATTCCAACAGAGCCCTGTTATCGCAACTCGTCCTCTTTCGCCTTGTTCCAGTAGCCCACTTTTCATCAAGGTGCTCTGGTTCCCCAGATATATATATATATTAGGGCTGTCAAACGATTAATTTTTTTTAGTTGATTAATCGCATAGTAATGGTGAGTTAACTCACGATTAATCGCATGTTTAACATTCTATTTCAAATCCACTCCAATTGAAGTTAAATGAGATTATCAAATATAATGACCAGTGTTGGGTAAGTTACTTTGAAAAAGTAATTAGTTATAGTTACTAGTTACTTCTTCCAAAACGTAATTGACTTACATACTGAGTTACTCCACTATAAAAGTAACTAGTTACCAGTAAAAGTAACTATTGCGTTACTTTTTCGTTTGTTGTGGTACCGAGTTTTAGCTGGCTGTAATTTAGGATAACTTCAAAGTAGATTAATTGTTGCAACAACCCCACCCTATTTTAGTATGATATGTTAGTTTAGGGAACTGTCCTGCAGGCAAACAGGTATAAGACAGGCCAAGGTGCCATTTAAATTAAATTGCATTCATTTTTATCCATTGATCAAACAACCACATTACAAAACTTGCAATTGAAAGAGACTATTTTAAAATAATTAGTTCCCAAAGACACACACGAGCAACACTCGCCCCTGACAGTCAAGAACCAGGGAAAATACAGTACCCAGATTGTGCCTGACAGACAAGAACCAGGGGAATTACAGTACGCAGAGCGCGCCTGACAGACAAGAACCAGGGAAAATACAGTGCGCAGTATGTGAAAGGAGCAATCGCTTGCTGCTGGTATTCAGTGTTGCCAACTTAGCGACTTTGTCGCTAGATTTAGCGACTTTTCAGACCCTATAGCGACTTTTTTTTCAAAAAAGCGACTAGCGACAGATCTAGACAAAGCATTAAAATCATTAAATGTTGTTAATGTTGAAATAATTTTTGTACATTTGTAGTTCTAAACATATTTAGGGTGTTTTTTACTCACTTTTGTCTCTCCCACGACGTTATTCCTCTCTCCTACAGCGTCCGTTACAGTTATTTGCAAATTGCCAATTATGCAAATTAGGCGATGACGTCATTTAGCGACTTCTAGCGACTTTTGGGACAGCCAATAGCTACTTTCCTTACTGAGGAGTTGGCAACACTGCTGGTATTAGCTAGATCCATGCTTGCAGCCGGCGCAAAGCTCGCACTCAGTCGCAGCCGCTAACAACAACCAGAGCGGCCACGGAGGAGGCCATCTCACACGCAGCATTCTGAGTGATATTCTTATGGATAAATGGGCGGGTCATTCGGACATGCGTTAAAGCGTTTAAAAAAAAATAACGCGTTAATGAAAAATGTAATTAACGTGAGTTAACGCGATAATTTTGACAGCCCTAATATATATATATATTGTAAACAGAAAGGCTCCAGGAAGTCTGGGGGGCTGTTAAACACCACGAGGAAGCAGGCTTTTGAACACGCTAATAGGGCTGGAAAGTCTCGTCCCAGAAGCACTTCCGGTTCATTGCTCGGATACAAACAAACCGTCAGCTGTTCGAAGAGGCGGTTTAAGTGAATGGTGCATAATGCTCTGCTTTGTTTTCGGCTGTAATCATCACAGTGTACGCGACACAGGCTCATTCTTTAGGTTTCCCAAAGACCAACTGAAGCTGTGGGAAAAGCTATGCAGTTCTGATAAAATATTTTGTCTGATTTCAGAGACAGTTAACTTGAACATGTATTCAAGCTAACTTGTAGCTAATGCTAACCTGTAATAGTGCGCGGCCAAGCCTTTAATTGTGGCTTGTATTTTAAGATAAGAAACTTTATTGATGTCACACAGGATAAATATTGTCTCTCAAACATTTATTTATTTTAGAGATAAAGGAGGAACATATTAACACGTATTAAATAACATTTAACAAATGTTCAAATATAACAGAAAACGGACAATCATTCGTATTAAATAAATAGGTAACCCAACTACATCATATTATTTTTGACAGCACAGCAAAAAGGAAAAAGGCCCAATGTGAAGCTGCAGTGAGTGTGAAGTGGAGATGGAGCTGATGAACAGATAGAAAACTGATCATTCATATACATTGGCTTATAACCAAAGCAGCAAAGATAGCTGTAAGGGACAACATCAATTTATTTGCATAGGAATAGTGTTTCTATATTTTCTTTCTGATGCGTGATAGTGGATTAAAATTAGGGCTGTCAAACGATTAAAATGTTTTAGTTGATTAATCGCACAGAAATGGTGAGTTAACTCACGATTAATCGCATTTTTAACATTCTATTTCAAATCCACTCCAATTGAAGTTAAATGAGATTATCAAATGTAATGACACATTGTCATTCACACCAAATGTACTTAAATCTATTTGATTTGCTCACAACCTCTTGCATTTGGGCACAACCAAAATGGGCTGTTAATGAAAGGGGGAAATTTACGTACCCCAGCTTTAATTCAGCGTTTCAGTTTAGTTTAGTTTCAGGAGGAGACAGGGACACTTTAGCGGTGTATTTGTGTGCACAGGTTACGCACAGGTTGCAAAGACACGAACACAGCATGCATACAATAGTTGTGAGGCGTGTATGGTCTAATATGACCATGTTACCGCGGTGCCACTCACTCACAGCCGGTCACAGTCGTGTTGTTGGTAGCGGCTCACAGTCAGAGCGGCCACGGAGGAGACGGACTTTAGTTCACAGCAAAATGCCCCGCGGTGACCTAGATCCATGGCGGTGACGCGCATATTCTTTTAAAACATGAATTCCCAGAGGGCCTACCTGCTTTGATGCATCTCACACGCTGCATTCTGAGTGATATTATGGATAAATGGGCGGGTCATTCGGACATGCGTTAATGTGTTAATTATTTTTTTACGCGTTAATGAAAAATGTAATTAACGTGAGTTAACGCGATAATTTTGACAGTTGAACTATCATAATTATGAGATCAATCTCAAACTATTATGAGATTAATCTAAAAATATTTCGGAACCTGGGAGAAGATCCAGGGCGGACCCCAAGGAGAGACCAGCGCTGAGACCAATGCAAACCAGAATAGAGACAGCGCAGACCCGAGGAGAGACCAACGCAGAGAGACCAGCGGAAAGTGAGCATGTGTGAGCGATGCCGTCAGTGACTTAAAAGGAGCATGAAAACTGTGTTTTGGGCATGTCTCTTGCACACGTTTTAGTAGGCATTAATTAACTGGAGAGGGCGGTTCATTCCTAAAATTTGGGAAAGTCTTCCTATATAACTTTAAATTAAAGTGATTATGCAAACAAACCAAATAATATATTCACAACATCAAATCACTTTTCTGCATTGTGTAGACAGCGTTTTCAGACCAGTATCGATCCACCATGTACGCAGGGCTACACACATAGCCCATACAATAAAGCAGTAATAGCCACGTCACTCACCTCAATATTTTTACAGGCCACATTCTTGACCACAGCTGGGAAGAGATCCGACGCATTTTTCCCCCGGGCAATCATCTGTGTGCACACAAAAGAAGACACGACTATGGAGTGATATGGGAAAGTGAGAGCTTTGAACCAGATGAGTGGCAACGTTTACAAAGCACCAGTGAAAACCAGATAACTTGCCTAGTCCAATGAGCAAGACAAATGTAAATCATTGAAATGTGAAAAACCTGTCCGTTTGTTGTAACTGGATTGAACTGCTTATGCTGGCATGTAACCCCGGAAACTGGATACTACTGAGAGAAGGCAAGCAGATGTGGTGGTTCATGTCCTCTGCCAAGTGTGAAAGCTAAAGCAGGATCTAAACAGAATCTAAACCATATCCAGATCTGGACTCCTGTTCGTGCTGCATATCTTGTATGTATATGTGTAGGGGGTATGAAAATTACCCTTTTGTATGCTGCCCTTCCGCTCTGATAAGACCTGTGCCTCCCTGCATTCGGGGGAGGCGGCCCAAGAAGTGAAAACTCTCTCACAGCTCCATTTCGAATATCTCTTTCAAAGAAGTTTGCGTGGAGAGAACACCAGGTCCCTGCTCTCTCGGTCCTCCAGAGGCAAAGGGAGGACCGAGAGGCCTGACCGTCTATACTTTCGTGCCATACAGTAGCAGGACCTCTGGGCCTGCCCAGCTCGAGGTTTGAGAGGACACCAATAGCCTCCAGCTTCAACATTGAGATGGTGGATTGCTGAAGGACCACATTATGCCGCTGCAAGATCCAGCCATGAACAAAGACTGGTCTGCATCCATTGCCATCACGACCTAAGGACTCTGGTTGTATGATCTGCTCTGCTACACACAGTTGTTGGCTTATTTAAAACCTGCAAGTCAAGCTAAGAACACATAGTCTCCCTATAGGTTGCAAACATACAAGCAAGCCTCGGCCTACTAATCCATTTAATTGACATTTCGGCCTTGCATTAGCCTCATCTCACCTTAGCCTTGGCATTTCAACCATGTGTCTTACAATCAGCGTTTCCTTCTTGTTATTCTTGACAATTTGCATATTTCATATCTAATCTGTTTTGTATATACTGCATTAAATCTACAAAACCATCTTTGTCTGAAAGTGATATTTGTGCTGATTTAACTCCAGAAATTAGGTCACTGATTTGTGAAAGGATTCATACCGTCAGATTCTATTGAAGAAAATTAGACTAACTAGCTAATTAGATAATTGATTACTCATAATTACTGAATCAATAAATGAGCCAATTAATAGATAACGTGACGTCATACGCACGTTATCAGTTGTGATTTATTCACTGGTGCTCCGAAACAAAGCTTCAATTATTGTATTTACTACATGATTGTTTTCGACCCAATTCTCTGATATCAAATAAATAACTTAAGTTGTGTGTGAGATCGACTTCAATAAACCCTACATATGAAATGCATGTATTTGGACACATCTTGGCCACTCCCTCATTTGATCATTGTGATAAGGCACACAGTCCCTCGTGGTGGTTCATGTCCTATGCCAAGTGTGAAAGCTAAAACAGGATCTAAACAGAATCTAAACCATATCCATGTCTGGACTTCTGTCATGTCGTTTCCTGTTAGTGCAGCATGTCTTGTAGGAATAATGAATAAAGCTGAAGGATTCGACACAGATTAAAATATTTAAAACCTGACGGTGCAAATTTAACATCTCAAATCTTACTCCAGCTTCAGCCCATGGAGCATTTTTACAAAGATTAAGATTTTAAGGCCTCAAGGATGGATAAAAAAACAGAGTAGTGTGAACTGCAGAAGGTGACAAAACTACAAGACATTTTCTGAGTTGTTTCTTATAGTGTCGATTAATGTGTTTAAAAAACTAAAAACATGTTATTCTATTTTTACGTACTTACAACTTACAAAACTGTAAGTACCATTGTAATCCATTTGCCTTTTCGGTTCAATCTTTAAGTAAAAAAAACAATTTTATAATGCAGTTGTTTTATGTAGATATAATGGTAGAGCTGACATCACCCATAGTGTTTACCATAATGCAGAAGAAGCCAATTTGAACAGCAGCCATCTTGACAAGTTTGGAGAATTTGTTATTTTACATTGGGAGAATTTGTATTTCTTTTATTTATTTAAATTGAACTGATAAATATATAAACTTGACTCACAGCTACTATTCTCTTCATGGCCTCCAGCTTCAGCGAGTCCTTGTTACTGTCCAACATCTCCTTCAAGTCATCGTGCCTGCAACATATCCAGAGGAAATTAAATTTGCCCAGTTTTCATACAACATAGAAGGCACTTCACTGCACAAGCTTTGATTTAAATTCAGTGGAAAAGTCTGTATGACCCAGAAAATGTTGACTTTGAAGTTATGCAAACACTCAATGCAGGAGCTCAAGAGGCGGTAATTGGGAGTGAGTTTAATCCCACAAATAATATGAAGACTCCCTTAATATTTGGGTACACTACACCCAAAGAGCAGAGCTTTTGTCTTGTAATTCAAACAGGCCATTTTGAAATACATCAATTATATTTTTCACAACTTTCCACAAAGGAAGCTGTATGTATGTATGACATTTATCCAGCCCATTGAGTCAAAAAGTGACTCACAGGGCACTTTTGAACACAAAAGATATTGTGTTTTCTAATAAGATGAAGACAGCATGTGGTCTGATTTCTTTTTACAAGACTATCTGTTGGGACAAACAATTTGAGTGCGTTCACAGTAAAGTGTCAATTAAAGTATCTGGACTTTAAAAGGTTATAACTCAAAAACTAAATTTACTATCATAGATTAGAAAAAAGATTTCAAACACAGACACATTGAAGAGATAGTGTGGATAAAATCAAAAGGAAAGATTGACAAATATATTTTTGGCGACATTTTAAACGACAAAATCAACCTCTGATTTGACCATTCTGTGACGCCAGTTACATAGAAAATAAAATGTCCTCAGTCTGAAAAAGCGGCAGATGAAATCTCACAAGATTTACATGGTTAACATGTCATTTGATATAAAAAGGAATTGTTAAAAAAATAAAAACATAAATGACCCTTGAAAAAGGTGTAACAGACGTGATGGTTTCCTTCCATTTTTTTCTAACAATTAAACTTGAGAAAAAAAATCTGGTCTGTTTTCATACTTAATTGGTTGACTATATGAAATTATCACTTTGTTTCTACTCTATGTAAAAAGAAATAGAATCTCTTAATAAAATGTGGACATCTAAAAATACGTAACAAACTTCCGCAAAGCTCATTCCGTCAAATCATCACGTCCGTTACATGAAATAAACATGGTCGCTATAGGAAACTTGTCTAATGTATAAAACAGTTATGTTCTAGCAACCTCTAATGGACAGAGGAGGTGTTTGGATACATGAAAAACTTAAATATCTTTGGATTATTAAAATCTAATTTTAGGCCTTTTGTCACACTTTTATGCCCTTTAGTGTGAACAAGCCCATATATCTATCATTTATTAAAGATAAATTAGGTACACAGCTTTAAATCTGAGCCACTGCCTTATTAACAGTGTGAACACAACCAAAGGAAACTCATAGGTATCTCTGGCAAAATAGGAATTGTGGGGACAATAATGTCTTGCCCCAGGATGTTGAAAAAGTAATTTGCTAGCTACTATCGTGGGCTGTGAGTGTGCATCTTACACAAAAGATTACATGTTTTTAAGATAAAGAAAACATGTTGTGGTCTGATTTCTGATGTTACTTTTGCCAGAATGTGTTATTTATTTGGGAGAAAATAGGTACCCCAGCTCACTGCACAACATCAGTTTTTTTTATTGTCAAAGAGACACAGTAATCTTTTGTATCGGTACATGTATGAAGCCCCCCCAAATCGCTCAACCTTTGGTGGAAGACTCTCTTGTTTTCCTCTTAAAAACACAGGTATGTTGGCGATCGGGTTGACATGGATAAAGTGAGCTGAGAAATTACAGGAGACAGGAAAGGCAAAACAACAAATCTAAGTGACATTTCCAAATCCCAGTGCCATTGTGAATAAAATACAATATAATGTAATTCCAAATACCTGGCCTTTGTCTGATCTAATTTTGTGCTGCCATTATGGACTGCGTCATGTTTGCTGAGTCACTCAAACGGACAGAAGGCAAACGTGAAAATGAATGCAAAGTGGTTGAAATAACTCAAAAATACAAAATACATCCAAAACCAGGACTAAACCAGGACATAACCAGGAATGTCAATTGATGATGTCAATTGACATCAACATTGTTTTTCCTGTCAGTCTGTGTCCCCTGTATCATACAGTTTGGGGTTTGGCTGTAGACAGTATTTTATTGAGCCAGCAGGTGGCAGCAGAACTCCCTGGCTTGGTCAAAGATCACTGCCTGAGCACTCTGAGCAGGAGAAACAGAGGTGAAGCAGACATGGAGTAATATAGTCAGGGTCAGGCTACATTTGGAGGCCGTTTGACCAGTAAATGTGTCTCCAGAACTGACAGAGACCATGTGGAGGGTCAGGGCAGCAGACCATGTGAAGGGTCAGAGCAGCAGACCATGTGAGGGTCAGGACAACAGACCATGAGAGGGTCAGGACAGCAGACCATGAGAGGGTCAGGACAGCAGACCATGTGGAGGGTCAGGACAGTAGACCAGCGGTGCATCCCAAAAAAGCCACAGAAAAGAGGACTATTGCTAAAACTATCACTGAGTCCGCACCAGGAGCCAGCGGTAAAGTCCAGTTATGGTTACAGCGCTCGCTGGACTAAACAGAACGACACTCTTTAGATGTAACCACACAAAGACACACAAACGTGCGCATAAACGCATATATTTGCGCGCCCAAACACACAAATACATACAACAGTATTCTATTGCACTTATGTACAGTATATTGTGTGTTCACTTTGATTTATTGTCATTTATAATCATTGTTATTTTGCTTATCTCTGATTTACTCTTGACGACATAAATACAGAGTTTGTCATGGGCTCTATTTTCAATATGTTTCAAAAATTACATACAATTACAGATTATAAAACAGTCACATACAGATTATGAAACAGTCACACACAATTTCATAAAATTACGGATTATAAAAACAGTTACATTTCAGTGAGGACGTCTCAGTCTCTCAATCTGGATCTAAAAGCATTCAAGGAAATAACTTCAGATAATTTTGTCTTTTTGCAACACGTTCCATGTAGAAGGAGCAGCATGTACAAAAGCTTTTTTTCCCAGTTCTGTGCAAAAGGAACATAGAGCAACAAAAGATCATTTGATCCAAACCATATGAACATGAGTAAATGGCAGATGTAAGAAGGCAGCAGACCAAGCCTTAGAAACTAAAGTGCACCAGAGTCCAAACCTTCTGTGGACAAAGATCCCACTCCAGAGTATCACTCACAGTGAGGCTTTGCAGTTCGCAATTAATTGAACATTTTAATTGAATCAATATTTAAGTACAGTTATTTTCCCCTATATTTTGTATCTTACTGTTGAAACTGTGTAAAATGTTATATTAAATATACTTCTTTAGGAATTAAACCCCTGACTTGTTTTTGATGAATACTTAGGCTTACTACGCTACTGTATAGTGTTGGTCATTTGTGGTGGTACTTGGAGAGGCAAGTATTTTCTGAGGGGGTACTTGGTGTGAAAAGTTTGAGAACCACTGTTCTATTGTATTATTGTATTGTTTTAGTATCCCCAGTGTTTCCTCTGGAGGAGCCCTCTGCACTGGGAGCTGGGGTCTGCTGTGGCTTCGGGGGTCTGGCTCTTGGATCACGTGGGGGTCTGGGGCCTCCTCTCTCCTCTGGGTCCTGTGTGTGTGTGTGTGTGTGTGTGTATACGCATGTGGTTGTATATATAATTATAAATGTGGTTTTGGGGGGGTCTGTGGGGAGGAGGGTTTAGGGCTGGGCATGTTGGATTGTTTTTAACTAAACTGTAAAGCACTTTGTGTTACCTTTTTTTTGTATGAAAAGCGCTTTATAAATAAAATTTGATTGATTGATTTGAACAAAGATGGCAACCCCCGTTTGCAAGAGGCAACCAGGGTTTCCTCCGGGTGCTCTGGTTTCCTCCTGGTGCTCTGATGTTCCCCTACCACTAAAAATATGTACAATAGGTCTGGCATGTGATGGGAGCGAGCTGTACAGTAGGTGACCTCGCTCCCATCTCTGTGTGGAGTGAGAGACAAATGCCCAAAAATAACAATTGTAAAGCTCATTGTGACATTGGTCTGATATGCTATGTAAATAACAATCACTTACTTACTTAAATGATCGGCAGAGGGTGAGTAAGTAAGTAAGTAAGTAATCTTTATTTATATAGAGAGGAGTAATGCCTCTTTTTACGTAAAGTTTGTAAAAAGGATTATCATAATCATCATTTACAAATCAATGAATGCAACATGATGTGAAATGAACAATGACTGACTGCATGGCATGGTCAGCATGGTCAGCATAGGCATGGTCAGCATGGGCATGGCATGGTCAGCATGGGCATGGCATGGTCAGCATGGGCATGGCATGGTCAGCATGGGCATGGCATGGTCAGCCCGGTCATTCAGTCAATGATTATTATGGTAATGTATAATTGGGAAAAATAATCATTAATGTATAGTCATGTTGTCATCAGTGGCATAGCCAGAAACCTTTTGAGGGGTGTGCCTGCAAAGGAATTTTAGGCTAACTATTGATTATTTTATGCCAAATCAAGCAAAGGTACAAAGATTGACAAAAATATTTTTTAATTTGTTTTTGGATTTCTCACGAGGTAGGCCTAAGGCACGACGTTGTATGGAAATATGGTAGCCAACCTCAGCTCACACTTTTCAGGAGGGCTCCTCGCCACTGCTCGTGACTGGCAGCTCCAAGTTGACCTGGGAAGGAAACTTAAATTCCCGGCAATGATCACCACCACTGCACTCCGCCCAGACATGGTGTTAACATCTGAGTCAACCAAGCAAGTGGTACTACTGGAGCTAACAGTTCCCAGGGAGGACCGGGCTCTCAGCAGAGTGCCGGTCGAACGGCTGTAGAGCCCGTTGCGAACCAGTAGAGATTGGATGTATCAATCAATCAATCAATCAATCTTTATTTATAGGGCGCTTTTCCTGCACAGGGCAACACAAAGCGCCTCACAGTCCACACCACACAATGCACAAATCATCACCATTAAAATACAATTAAAAACACATATGTAATTAAAAAGCATTAAAATCACATAAGTAATTT